ATACTTTATCGTAGCTGCACGTATCACCCTCTTCCACCATAACCACCTCAACTATGGTAACTTAACAATGGTAACTTTTAACACAAAGAACTGTCTCCCAGATTTGTGCGCCATGCTTTGTTTCATCCGTCGGGTGTTAATATCGGCATGGGTGTGTATTTAGTGACCAGCTGAGGCCAGAGAAAGTCGATAAGAGGCGTGGTCATTGGAATGAGGATGTACTAGGTCGTACTTGTAGACTTGATGAAGCTTAGGTAGGATTCGATCTCTTTGGGAGTGAAAATTTGACGTGGCGGAGTATTTTGAAAGATTGCCTCGTGGGCCAACTTCTTTGATATTGTGACAGATGACTGAGCTTGGCTCTCGGAGAGTGCTTCACTCCTTGGCTCGTAGACGACACTGTGTACAGATGTTCAGTCTGGCCCTCCCATGAATCTGTACGTGGCGCGCGATATAGAGTAAATCAACATGTATTCTTCGTAGTCCTTCGTTTTCTGTACAGAATCTAACATTATTGACGACATGCCTCTGCGAAGAGCATACGTGACCAGTCCAAGTCACACTACATCCGATTATTCTTTTTATTTTCAACATTTACATGAATTCTAACTACGTTGGTACTAAAGCTAGTGTAGCCCTGATTACTCAGTGGTCCCCTTTGATGTCAAAGTTGATGAACTTTCCTGCAACAGAGACGAATGGAATGGAATTGAATTTGACAAAGTCCCTACTGAGGCTATGTGTTACAGGCTGTAGCCTCGTATGTGGATCCGGAACTATCCGGCTCCGTCTATGAACAAAAGCGCGCTAATGTCACGGGAAAACGCGCTCGATTGGAACAAAACTACTTGCGCGCGCGTCGTAAATATTCTCCTGCTTCGATAAAATATAAATTCATTTTTGGACCCATAATTGTGAACAACAAATGTGAAGTCCCTTCGCACTATGAATATAAAGGGCTGCCAAAACTGTCTAAATAGCTTTAAAATTTTACAGTTATATTGAATGTTAACATGGGTAATGTTTGTTAATAGATATTAAGGACCTCGCCCTGTATCAACACAAACTGATTTTCCAAGCTGAACCCGACTAGCTCTCATTGTCCGGGGACGAAACTCGGTGCCTGTCAGCGGCGCCCCCAACGGGCCTCTAGCCCTCACTATGGAGTCTACAGAGGCGGGATTGAGTGATATCCTAGTGCTCACTTCGCTGAGGATTTCCAATCGTTTTCGCGGTCTACACCGTCTTCATCCCTCAACACATTTCCCTATCACTGTTTTGATCAAGCTAATCACGATTAGATCAGATGATAGGGTCGAAGGCTTTCTCATCTCCCACCCTTGATCACGGAGAATTCATCCGGTACTGCCATGATAGATTAAATCGAGTTGACCTCTTTTATCACAAAGAAGGGAGATGTGGATGGATATGCGCATCTCATGTGTTTCCAGTACCTAAGTGTCGCCTGGCTAGGGCTGTAGGCCTCTTAAGGTTTTCTCCCGCGCACGCAGTTCCCATGGCTGCCATTTTAATTTACTTTAGGCAAAGGTTCCTTGGAGGTGGTGGCTGATTTCACCTCGTAAATACCAAACTTCTTTTTATGAGTCATCGAATGTACTAGGCTATCTAGCTTCAAGACAAAAGATGTGTTATGTGTTCATTTAGGATGACTTTTGTTACGCTAGAAACACTTATAATCTAGATTTCATTCGCAGGTACTACAAGAGGACATGTTTGCTCGCACAAAAAGTCGAGCGTCCTCTGTTAATACCCATCAAAGTGACGTTTCAAAACGTTTGATTATCCACACATAACAACGGCGCGAGAAATGCAGTTGTGTTTTGCCGGATTCAAACCAGCAATCTCCTGTCTCAAGTGGGGTGTGTCCAAGCTATCTGCACCTTACTTGGGTGAGCGTCCCATACTATCTACCACCGCACCATCCAGCCATGACATAACAGTGTCTCCTGCACTGTCGCACTTGAAAGGCTAGCGTGCACGGTGCTCTTCAATCTGGAGACTCCCCTCCCATGCGTCGGAATCTCGCTCCTCCCAAGATTGTAGCCATTCCTAGTGTCATGTTGCATATGAATTCTTATCCCTCTCACGTCTCTCCAGAAGCTTTGTCTCTATTATTTGTGTGAAACAAATTCTGCCTTGCTATGAATCTTAATCTTGTCATGGGCGTGTATTAGGCGGTCAGCTGAGGCCAGAGAATAGTAGATGGGAGATGGCCATTGAAACAATGATATACTAGGTCGCACTTGTGAATTCCATGAGGCTATGGTGGAATCGACCTCTTGGGAGGGAGAGATTGGTTTGGTGGAGAGTCTTGAATCATTGCCTCGTAGACAAACTTCTGTGGTTCTGCGCAATTTGACTGAAATTGGCTCTGGGAGAACATTTCCCACCCATGTTCGTAGAAAATACCATGAACAGGTGTTCAATCTTTGTCATCTCTTTTCTAGAATAATTTGTGGTGAATACTACACCTTGAAAAAAGTGTAGCGTTAACCATAAGAGAGAAACGGACACAAATATTCTGTAGTACGGCCTGTGACGGATGCTGATGTGAGAAGATTGTCAGTTGCGCAAGACTGCTAGAGGATAAGTAGAAAATATGCGATCTTGGTTCTCCCCATATCAGAGTGCCGTTGGTGGATCAATTTTTGCAAATAAATTCAATACATCTACGAGGCTTACGTTTGGGAACGACCCTTACATAGTTGTAAATTTGCAAGCCGCCTCCTGGTGGTGTTCTCCGGTATAGTCTGAGTAGCCTGGGCACCTAATCCACTTGGGAAGGAGACGCCAAAGACCTTATTCCGCGCGGAGAAAAGTTGAAAGATGATGGAGGCATGTCTGGATAACTCAGGGTTTTTGAGACGTTCCCCTGAGTGGGTATTCACGTATGAGGGCTGACTTAGGGTGAAGAAAAAGCCACCATAACTCTGCAGTGGTACTTGCAAATAAAATCCGAGGCATGAGTGCTCTTCCTTTACGTTGAATCATCTATGCTGTACTTTTCTTTGATATTGTGTCATAGCTAAATAGCTGCATACGCAATTAAAATCTGATGCAAAAAAAATTAAAAAAATTTGCAAGCGAGTCCACGTTTTTTTCAGACATCGTACTGATAGTCGTAACGAGACCAGAGATCATACAGCTTTTGGCTCATCCTATCTGGATTACCAGAAATGCCCATATCAGAAACACTCGCAAATATATTACAAGCACGCCTACTCCCTAACGCCAAACAAGTAAAACAAGGCTTGGACAAGTTAACAATACCCGGTGTCTTCGAGTGATATCGTCCCGGTCATCATTCCTCCATTTCATTTGCCAACAAGTTTTGGTAGAACAGCATCAACCCTATACAAAAACTCCAAATTTATACTCCTCATATAGATCTACAGTTTTACAAGGGAAATTTCCCTCTTATTTACCTCACTAGAGTCATTTTGTCTCTGCGGTTCAAAATCTCCCGGGCCAATTCACTGTGTCTCTCGTATGTATGGAATGGGACAAAGGATGGCAGGCGTCTTCTATTCATAGACTTGTTCCGAAGAGGGGACGTAGTAATCACCTAAAGCGTTGAGATGTGATTGCAGTGCTGAGAGAAGCCTGAGACCTTTGCTGAATTACTCTCTATTGAAATCCTTTTGATGCAGGATTGTGACTAAAAAAGCCAACCAAATTCCTTCCCATAAGCAATCTGTCGAGAAGCTCTCATTCCGCACATGGTTAAGGACAAAGTTCCGGCCCTGAAATCAATGTTTAATCCTCATGTTAGTAGAGGAGACCGCCAATAATTATGCAGTGATTGTACAAGCAGCTGATTGACATTGACGGTGATTGCTGGCACCGGGTGAGGTTAAAGAGAAGAGAGAACTATTGAGGTAACCTGTGAGATTTCCGATAGCCCTTGCACCTGTCGTGTTACATAATTACCGAATCACGTGTGAGCCTGAGCCTATGGCATGCGCGTTCTCATCGTTAGATCTTTCATACTTTTCTCCTTGACGACGAAAGGAAGCTAACCGGAATGGACGGTTAATCTCGTGGTGGAATGCTGATAAAGCCTCAGGCAGGAGTTGGGGATAGGGCTGTGTGACATTCGGTCATAAGGAGATGATCTCCTGCGCATGTCCGACTCAGATGCGCAGATTCAAACCATGCAGCACGGCAATTTGTTCGGATTCAAACAGCTAGACAAGTATTTAGATTGTGCGCGGGAAATTTACACATCCCGACAACAAACGGCGTCTATCACCTAACCACATGCTACTGCACAGACATCACAAAAGGAAAATTAGTGGCGCTCAGATGGTCGCCCCCTTAACGATAGCGCCATCTTTATTTCTGCCACTAATACGGGGAAGGCAATGCAAATCACAGCGTGTGCGAACAAATGAAAATGGGTGAAAAAGCGGGTAGGTCTAGTAGTCAGAGATCGACTCCTAGTATTGATACCCTGATGTACATGGTACTCCTTCGCTGGACAAATTAACAGATACTAGAAATCGCAATCGCCGTCGCAATAGACGTTCCTGGCCTTGTATCCTACATCAGATAACTTCTTCTCTGTTATTCCGGGCGAACGCACATTGAATACAAGTGTACAAGAAGCGATGCTCTGATAAGCCAGAGCCCTAATCGCTGAAATTAACTACTCGCACTCAATACGTTCACTTTTCATCAGCCTTTAATACTAATTTACCCCCAGAAGAATTGATGGTCAAATGATACGAAAATACATGACCTCACATTCGGAAGCCACAGAGTCACACCATTCCATTGGAAATCTAGAAATTTGGTAATCATCAATATTTTTGACTATTGTGGCTCTGAGGTTCTCAAGCTGAGCACGATAAATCCAACAATACTTCCTCACTCAACCCTTATATTGCATTCCTTGTTCACTCCCACCCCACCGAAAACTCTACAAGATAAATTCGCCTTCACTCGATCCACGAAATTAACAAGCTGGTTCCGATCACATGCTCTACACACCCTTTTCTGACTGCAAGACCAGCGCGAAACAGAGCAGCGTTGCACGTGCAACCGCTTCCGTCGTAAAGAGGGCACAGCTTCGCCGGGGCAACAGCTCGGAATGTAAATATATCAGTATCAATGAGTCATGGGAGGATACGAGTGTTGCGGGGACGTCGACTAGCGCAGACATGAGCACCTCGGCATCTTGTATCAAGCAGTCTACAAATTCGGGAGCCATAAATCTTAGCGGCCGCACTCTTTCTCCTAGGGAAGCCCACGAAGGAAGTATTGCTAGATCGTTTGTTACGAAATATGGCCGACGATATCTACGAGATTCTACTATGCCATATCCCTTACCGAGCGACTTAACTGAAATTCACCGTCAAATGCTGCGAACAATGTTACTCTGTCAGGTTTTTGACGGTCCACTATGCTCGCCTTCTTTCCGTTCAGAGCCACCCGCAAGCGTGCTCGAGATCGCGTGTGGATCGGGATTCTGGAGTGAGATGTGCCACCAACATTTCTCCAGAAAAGGTCATACCTCAATCTCATTCACAGGAATCGATGTAGTAAAGCTAGGATTACATGGCGAGGCCCCTGTCAAAAATGATATGAACTGGCGCTTCATACAGCATGACCTGCGACAGGTGCCCTTACCTTTTCCTGATGAAGAATTCAATTGTGTCATGGTCAAAGATCTTAGTATGGTGACGCCGATAACAGATATGCAGCAGCTTTTGATGGACGAATATCTTCGCATCTTGAAGCCGGGCGGTACTCTGGAAATTTGGGACAGTGATCACTCATTGCGGATGCTGCTGCCACCTGAAGAATCAGATACTAGAGGTGAAGAGCATAAGAGCGTGGAGACGCAACAGACACCGAGTCATGCTCCCGGGACCTACATCATAACTCAGCAAACATCGCTTGCCGCACCAAGAAACAAATTCATTTTGGAATACAATGCCTGGATAGCTAAAGCCCTCGAGGCCCGGAATTTGACGTGCTTGCCATGCACTGCAATTTTGCCCCTACTCCTCCAAGAGTCAGAGGCTCTTCAAGATATCGAGAGCCAGCGGATCGCTATTCCCCTCGGCGAAATAGGTTGGGAGCAGGATGATCAGAGACCACCGGTAGCTCGCGAGAGCACAGCATCGCCTTCCAAGGGCAAGGCCAGGGTGGCAGAGAGTGAAGATCTAGATGAGTTGCAGACGGCACTACGGCGAACGGCGCTAACCACCGTTGTACAAATGATTGAAAGTCTTGAGCCCATTCTGCGTGAGGCAAGTGGAAAAAGACCAGAGGAATGGGATTCTTGGATGGGTAACATGATTAATTATTTGCTTCAAAAGCACGACACCCTACAAGATGAATGTCTCGAGGTTGGCGCGTGGTGGGCTCGCAAAAAAGAGGTATGATTTTGGGTGGAGAACAGCTATCCCGTCGTGCCTCACTGCAAGATGTGAGTTAGGGCTTTCGAGCTTTTGACAAAGCCTGGGGGATATCTTGGGTCTAACATAGGCGACTAGATGTTTTGCGCAGAATCAGGAATATTGCTTTCTTTGTACCTGTATCTTGATGATGGTTTGGAGAGGGGAGATCAAAGTGCCATTATCGGGCATGCAAGCTTCTTTGTTATCAATATTTCCTCGACATGTATATAAATGTGAATAGACTTCAACTGAGACTATGTAACCCATGAATTCCGTAAGCCCAAGCCTACCTAGTGTCCATCCACTTTTTCTCAAGCGATAATAGCTACGCTCAAGTTTTCACGATAGCCTTCGGATCCGTGACCACTGAAGCGTATGAGAGTGCCCGATTCTAGCTGCCTCTTCCACTTCTTGGCCTGACCACTCGCAAGGATAGCTGTCATGCGTAGGAAGACGGTCCCGAGCCCGACCGCAACGCTAGATGCATGTTCGGCGGCGGGATGGCCGACGGCAGAAGTAGGTAGAGCCAGTGGCGTGCAGGTCCAGCGGCCAAAGGCCCAATTGAGAACATATTTGGTGGGGCCGGAGGATGAGGTTACTTCGGTGAGGGTAGAATCGGATGATGGAATGGGGGTAGTTGAGACGAAGATGGCCTTGAGGCGGTAGACCTCGTCTTTGGAAGCAGTCTGGAGAAGACGGCGGAGGGCGACAGTATCGAGCGAGCGAGTGGCCGACATGTGTAGCGATGGTGCCGGCTGATCAGTCGAGGTCGAGTCTTGGCAGGAGAGAGTGATGGAGAGCACATCAACCTCGCTACGATGGCTCTCTGTCTCGCCATGTTCGTGGGGGAGGAGGCTCTCCGGCACCCTCGTAGCATCCTCCTTCCACGCTCGCGTCAGGGCAGCATCGAGACCAAAGACGACGCCCATTTCCACCCAGCCCTTCCGGCTCTTGACCCATGCGATGTCGACCTCGAGGTCGCCGAGGCGATCGAGACATTCGTCCCATCGCCTCTCGTCCAGGCCCTCCCACTTGTTGAAGACGACGAGATCCGTGTAGCGCGCCTGTAGGCGTGCGGTGAAGCTAGTATCCTCATAGCCCTTCCAGTTCTCCGCGTCGATGACGGTCACGACACCATCGAGCGCGTACCGACCGTCGGTCGCCGTCGCGAGCCGATTGATTTCCATGGCGAGAGTGGCGGGAAATGCGGAGCCGGAGGTCTCAATGACAATGCGGTCGGGCGTGAGGCTCTCTGCAAGCTCGGCCAGAGCCGTCGACAGCGAGCCTACGAGATTGCAGCACACACATCCGTTCAGGACTTCCCGTACCCCCGCAATTGACGAGGAGCTGGCGAGCTGCGAGTCTACGGCGAGATCACCGAATTCATTCTTGAGCAGGGCGAGCTTATATTGAGAGTTCTGCGCGCGGAGTTGCGGCAGGAGATGGAGCAGAAGCGTCGTCTTGCCCGACCCGAGGAAGCCGGTGATGATGGTGATGGGGATCGGTGACATGGGAACAATCTCAGATGAAGTCCAGGCTATGCACTGTCGGATGGTAATGGAGAGGGTTGGTGGTGACGTTGAAGCAAGCAAGGACCCCTCCCCACTTTATGGGATCCTCTGAGGTACTTTTCTCCGAATCGCCCGACCGGGCTATTTTGGACCTAGGCATGTTGATCTGCCAGGCTCGCAGGGCCCGTGCCATCTGACCTCGAGTATTAGCTCGCTAGCCGCGTCAGTAGAGCTCCTAGCACGGGAGAACATCGGGGTAACTGTAGATCGCTTGATGGGGTTAGACTTTTGTAGGATGATACATTTTTAAAAAGATTTAGGAGCGTCATTTTACGGTGGATTGAATATCATCGACCTTGAGTTGCGGAGGGCAAGACTGAAGACATGTACGCGATGTCATCTACGAACCTGAGAGTGAAACATTCTCCCAGAGCCATGTTCAGTCGAATTTCGCAATACAGAACAAGTTGGCCCACGAAGCAATGATTCAAAACACTGCACCACGTCAAATCTTCACTCCCAACGAGTTTGACTCATACCTAAGTTTCATTGTATCTACAAGTACGACCAAGTATATCCTCATCCCAATGACCATACCTTTCGTCGACTTTCTCTAGCCTTAGCTGGTCGCCAAATACACGCCCAAGCCGGTGTTTACACCCGATGGAGGAAGCAAAGCGTGGCACGCAAATCTGGGAGACGGTCCTTTAGGATGGACGTGAGAGGGATAAGGAAAGATCCACAAGATGATGCAGAGGATGGATATGACCTCGATGTGCGTGAAATTTCATATTTTGGCAAGAGTTTTACGAATGGAGATTCAGGGCATAACCCTCACCGTCTATTGGAAACTATTAAATAACCTCATTTTAACATTGAAATAGTAGCCAGAATTTAGTTGGAAGACTCCAGAAGTCCTTCATAGTCTTAGACTCAGAAGGGACTATAATATAAAAATTCTTATCTTCCGAATGGAGCTTTGTGCGTGCCCAGGCTTTAGCTGTGAGAGTGCAGGCGACACTATAAACAGCGCCATGGCTGGATGGTGCGGTGGTACATCGTCTTGATCGGTCTGCCAAGTAGAGTCTGGATAGCTTGAACACATATCCCACTTGAGACAGTCGATCGCTGGTTCAAATCCGGCAAAACACAACCACTTTTATCGCGGCGCTGGTGTGACAGAAACTGAGTTGGTGCTGAATAAATCGATTTTTGAAACTACACGAGGAGAAGGGAGAAGTCTAGCTACGACTAACAGGTATTTATAAGAATTGGTCCCCTTCGTCAATCTCCAGACTGATGACTTATCCTTAGGTACAATACTTGCTACCCAGCCACACATTGCCAGGTGTTACTTAGTTGTAGTAGCGCTTCGACCTCCTGACTAGTAGTGCCGTCTTGTATAGCTTCATCTATCCCTCCCCATGCAGCTTTGTCGTAAATATTCTCAACAATATGCTTAGGTATTCACCTAAGCTCAAACAACGGTCAAGCCGTAACAGCTGGTATGCATGGATGACGAAGGCATGCTCGGATAACCAAAGGTTTTGAAATTCCTTTGGTGGGCACTCACGGAGAAGGGTTGACTGTTTGTATAAGCAAGCATACCTCATAGTGGTATTTGCGAATAAAATCCAGAGCATGACTGTCTCCGACGTCAAAAGAGTCATCCCACATGTATACATAGCACCAGTCATGTGTCTTAGCTTTATAGCTGAATACACAGTAAATAATTTAAAAACAAATATTGAGTTCACATTGCTCGAGATAAGCTGAGACGAAGAGATGCCAATTTTATCGACTCCAAAGAACACAATACATCTAGTGATATAATTGGCTCATCGGTCACGATGTCACAAAGTTCCTCTTCCCGAGCCGACTATCCAGTTGAAACTGCGTGCAGAACGTTAGATCAGAAAGTACCCACGACGCAGCGCGCCTGCAAGCGCTGACAGGTCGCTGCTGAAACTTCTCTTGACAGGTCGATGGGCGCTATACAACAGCTGCTGATTACAGGCCTCGGGGAAATCTTGGAATCCAAAAAACGTTGCGAGTCAGTTGTCGGGCCTGGTAAATGGTAACTAGCGAGGCCGACCTCGGCATAGTATTTCTGTGTTTGTCTACAGTCCAATGTGTCGTGATCGTTTCTATTTTGCCACAGAATTAATTGCGAATGCAGCTATCAAGGTATGACACCATATCAAGAAAAGTACATACTAGATGCCTCAATGTGAAGGAAGAGCACTCATGCCTCGGATTTCATTCGCAAGTACCTCTGCGAAGTTATGCCGGCTTTTTCTTCACCTCAAGTCAACCCCCTTCCATGAATGCCCACCCGGGAGACCGTCTCAAGACTCCTGGGTTATTCAGACATGCCTCCATCATCCATTAACTTTTCTCCGCGCGAAATGTAATCGAAGATGTCTCTGTCTAAATGTGTAGTTCATAATGTCAAGGGTAACTTGGTGGGGGTGCCTAATCGGGTATGGCGTAACGGGAAATAATAAATGAATATGTACATAGTCTGTTCTTTGGAAGAGACAATAGAAATCAACTAAGAACCACCCATTTCGTTGCAACAAGCATGTGATTAAATTAATCCATAGGAGTATTCCGATAGTCTCCTTCCCGAGTGGATTAGGCTTCCAGGCTACTCAGACTATACCAGAGAACGCCACCAGGAGGCGGACCACGGCACCTTCCATCGTTTGCTTGTTTTTAAAGTGTCAGCTGCACTCTCGCAAGCGAAGTCATGGCGCGCACAAAGCCCAATTCGTAAAACTCCTTGCTAATATTCGGGATTTCACGCCCTTCGAGGTTATATCCTTCCTTCGCATCATCTTGTGAACTTGTCCTCATCCTTCTCACGTCCATTCCAAAGAACTGTCTCCTAGATTTTTGCGCCACGCTTTGCTTCCTTCGTCGGGTGTAAATATCGGCTTGGGCGTGTATTTGGCGACCAATTGAGGCCAGAGAAGGTCGACGAAAGGTATGGTCATTGGGATTATGATGTACTTGGTCGTACCTAAAGACTGGATAAGACTTCGGTAGGAATCAAACTAGTTGAAAGCGGAAAAACGACGCGGTGGAGTATTTTGAATCATTGCCCCGAGAGCCAACTTGAAGATTGCGATATTTGACTGAACTTCCTCTAGGAGAATATTTCACCCTCAGGTCCGTAGAGAACACCGCAAACAGGTGTTCAGTCTTGCACTCCGAGGCTTGATAGTCGTACTTAGTCAAAGCATCCAACGTGATAGCTACCCTTATGTTTTGCAAGCTACATTATTTGCCCATCTATAATTCGCGCTCTTGAATATCTCTCTTGTTTTTCAATTTATTGTCCTATCTGAGTCTGTGAATTTGTAGGACATGCAGGTCCTCTCTATCTAAAGGCCAAGGATACCTATACCAGTAGTATATCCCCTCCTATGCCTCCCATACAGCTCCCCTCAAACAGTACCACCCCTCACAAGTCCTCATTCGATCATATACTTAGAGGAGCCCTTTGCCCTTCATCATCTTCCCTTTCCAGCCAACGAAATAATTGCCATTAGCGGGTGTAAAGTAGCCGGGAAAAATCGCAAAAGCCACTGCGTGCGGGGCTCTCCAAATACCGACATTAGGATCAGATCCGAAGATATAGTGATCCTCCCGAAGCGTTCGAAGAGGCTGGCCAACTGAGCACTGCGGACTTGTATGTACCTCGGAGAATTTACTCTCTGCCTTTCTAGCCTCCTTACATCTCCTTCCCGGAGATCGTGCTGAAATGTCATGAAAGTCTTGACAGGGCGTGGTTGCTGTGTGGTAGCTTAGCCCAACTTCATTGTTGCCGTACAGGCTGCTGGGGAGGGGCGTTGACCCATCGACAATTGAAGTCCTCCTGGCTAGTTAGCCGAAATCTTGATCTTGGCGCTCACAAACATTCCAAATTCGAAAAAATCTCGAAATCATGAGACCTATTATTCCCACAAGCGGCCTCTTCCTTATCTCTTACCACGACCCGGTCGCCTGTCCTTCCTCAAGATGATAGCCCCATTAGAGCAACAGTCCCCCATGAACCAAGACCCCAACTTTGTATATTATGGCTTTCTTTCCTCCTAGCGGGTATACGTAGCGTCGTAAGTTTGTGGTGGGTGATGGTAGGTAAAAATGAGGCAAGCTCATGTCTGCAACTGGAGTGCTGCCTTTATCGGTCGTTGAGGCGAGGTAGTGTGTGGAAAGGTTTAAATAGATTTCTCTCGTGAGAATGACAATACCGACAGTGATGTGAAGTCGCCCATTGTAGATGTGTTTGCTTTCGACCCCGATTTGGATGCGATTGTTCTAGGCTATGCCAGAGATGCAGGACATACTGTGCGATTACACCGGCACCACTGGAAGGTGAAGAATTCGTCTTTGCCGGCGACTTTCTCTCTTTTCTATGCCTCTTTGATTCACGCTCGTGCACCATCGGCCACTCAGTCATTCCGAAGACGGTTATTAAGTGCATCCTTGCTGTAATAGTTACCATCTTGTCTACTACCCCCTAATTCAGGGAATAGTTGTCTTTTTTGGCTTCCCAGTTTTACCAAGCTCCGGCTTCTCGTGGTCAAGATGACTAGCAGTCTTGAATTGCTCCATACGGTTACTTACCATTGACAAACGAGCTGCAACTCTACATCCTCGTGGGGTGAGAAGTATCTTTTTTAAAGTTTAGTTTTGGCATCACAGAACGTGCGAGACTAGAATTCTGAATGATCCTGACAGGAGAGTGAGATATTTTCAACTGTTAGGAAGCTTGCACCACAACTACACCTTGATGTGAGGCCAGGAGCCTGGACAGATGCAATCCATACCTTGGGATTAATAATTCTGGAACGATAGAGCTTGAGAACTGTACATTCGCGCTTTTTACGACCGTCACAAAATCTCAATATGGACTGTTTCTGTTGGTACAATACGGTATACGCCCGTAAATAAAAGGCAATAAATTGATTTAATAAAACGATACAATAACA